AAACAGAGATAACCCCCCCCCCCCCCCCCCCCCCCCCCCGCCTCCGGGGCTCCCACAGCCGTAGCGGCCTTCACTGCAAGGACAGTGTTTGCGGCGGAATCACGGGGCTGTGCTAGGCAAAAACACGCTGCCTCAAGACAACCCCCAGTCTGCCCAACACACGTCGAGAGGTTACCTAGCTCACAAGGGCACTCTGACCAGATGACAAGAGCCAGGGTGTTTCGTTAATACACACACACGTAGTTACCATTCTTTGTCGACTTTATTATACTTCGCTAACTCAGTCAAAGGTGGCCTGCTCTTTCACCAGTCTGGAGAAACAACGGCTATTTCCGAAAAGAGACTCAACGACAAACAACAAATTACAAAAAAACGTTACAAGTAGCAATCACTTCATGTAAAAATGAACTATTCCACGGAGTATTTAGGGAGGAGGTATAAGAACTATTTGTAGCAGCTGCAGCTGTGTCGATACGTTGTGACGTGAGGCACCGCAACTTAATGCGGCCGGGTGATTTCGTGTCAACGAACGCACAAACTTTACTCGAAATCCCTATCAGGCACAAACCACAGGGCCAGCCTCACCCTAAAATACTGTGTTTCTTCCAACCAGAAGGCGGGTGCTTCCTCTACCGCATACTAGCAGGACACCTCCCCCCACCTCACCAAAACGCCTCTATCAAAGCCAGACGCATTCCGTACACCAAGGAAAAAGAAACCGAAGAGCACCCAGGTAACAGCCAACTTAGCCACCCCCCAGCATCAAAAGGCAAGGCGACGTGTAACGGAGCACCTTCCTTCGCCGCAAAACACACGCAACTGCCCCCCCCCCCCGCCCCCACCCTGCCAAAAGCTAACACCTAGTCTGTGGTTCAGCGTCAGGCGACGACGCCAATCACACATTTCAATGGGCAATACCACCCTTGGCCGAAGAGACCAATCAGCCGCGCGAGATGGGTGTCCGCCAATCTCAACGGATCGATCCTTCATATTGCTTGTCAAATCATAGCACTTTAAGCAAACGGGAAACACGTGGGTCGGGCTGTTCAGCAGCCACTCTCGAGGCCTTGACCACTAGCCACTCACTCGTTGGTCTCATGGGCATCAGAACAACTCTCCGGCAGACCACTCGGTAAGAGGCACGGGAGGCTTCGTTCAAGTTCATTTCATTGGCTGCCTGTCCGACGTTCAACTTCATTTCATTGGCGGCTGTCCGACAGGAAACAGTCGCCTCTGCCTCCTCCTGCTACATCGCAGGGCCACCACCTCTACCCGAGGCCAAGGAAGGAAGAAAGGCAGACGGAGGGAAAGCAACGAAGGGTATGCCTGGACACAGTGAGGATTGGCATGCGCGTGGTCATACACGCACCGCAGACAGCAAGGGCGCATGATTTCTCACTCACTCAGGCAGGAAGCATTTACCACTAATTAGTGGGATGCATGGACGGAGAGAGAGTGTGTGCCATGTACGCACGACAGACAGCACGGAATCAAGATTAAATCACTCATTCAGACAGCACCAAGAGTACTCTATGCAACAGGGAATCCCTCTGGAGTGGGTTCATGAGAGCACAGCAGCGTCATCAAGAGGTGTGATGGAAGATGAAATAAACCAGGCAGGCGAGACTAACCCACAGCTGGCTACCAACTGCTGTCTGACGTTTCCCAAGCTCAACAGCTCACACAGCTGACGTGTTGTCGACTCGAACAGCCCGGCGAACTTCAACGAAAACATATCAATCTGTATACAGCAGTCTTACTTCCGCCAGCAAGCTCACCGTGCTACGCCTTGCCTGCTGCTGCTGCCGCCGCATTACTTGGAGACGGGCTTCTGCACGGCGAGAATCTTCCCGATTGCGATTGTCTTCCCCTCCGTTCTCAGAGTGAACCGTCCCAAGTGCGGCATCTCCTCGAACGACTCCATGCACATCGAGCGATCCACCTGACGTGACGCACGTAGCAGGCGTTCTTGTTCGGCATCTCAACAGCTGAGACACAGCAACAACGCTGCTGCTGCTGCTGCTGCTGCTGCTGCTGCTGCTGTGGTTCTGAAGCTTCATCGGGTAGGGTTTCTGCATTGAAAAAAAACTGGTCAAGAAACAAGAGAGAGAGCACCCGCCACTACCGCGGTGTCTCCGCTCCCAACAGCAACATATAGTAGTGCGACACGACCAACCCGGTGGCCATAGAAAAGGAACTCGAGGATACTTGTCCTTCCAAGCGCAAGAAGTCGGAGCCCACCCTTGCACATAAAACCCTGCTTACACAATAATATTCCAAGTTGGGTTTTCACCAAAAGGGAAAAAGCGGCGGGCCTCGGGCAAAATAAGGGACTCTTAGTAGGGTATGCATAAGTGAGAGGTGACACGTTGCTATTGTAGCACTTGCCTCACCTTGAAGTTGGCAGTAACCATGGCTCCCGAACTTTACCCCACGGTAAAATGCTCCTTTAGCACCTCAACCAAGGAGACCTTAGATAGACTTTACGGCACTGGCAGTAACCATGGCTGTCTAACGCTAACCCTAAGGTGAAATGTTGTCAATACTGAAGCACCTACCTTGAACTTGGCCGTAACCATGGCTCCCTCCTTAGCGAAGCGCTGCCTCTTCTTAGCCCCGGTCTTGCGGTCGACCACGCTCAGTATCTCAACCACCGTGCACTCTTCCTCGCACGTGTGGCAGTGGCACATGGCGTCGTACCCCGCGGTAAAAATCGGTCTCTGAGGGACAAATGGTTCAGTTCGGTGACGATCACGGGGTTCCGGAAACGGTTCACGAGAAATGGGTTCTGTTAGGTGATGATTACGGGGTTCCGGGAAACGGTTCAAGATAAATAAACGGTTGGGGAAAAGACTCTTATAAGATGGGGCAACAAAGGACCCAATCGCACGGGCAGGATAAAGGGTTAGGGTGGTGTAACCCTAGGTTTAGGTTTAGGGTTAAAGGGTCGGGGTGGAAACGTGTGACGTCGGAAGACAACCAGCATCGATGCTTAAGGCAGATATTCCTCAGATGTCTTGCCTGCTCTGTCAGCTCCACCAGCGCGATCTGGGCAACGAAGAGCGTGGCGGCGTGGCACGGCTGGACGGTGGAGCAGAGCACGAAGCCCCTCATGACGTCGCTGTCGCTGCAAACCACCTTCACCGTAACGTTCTCGCCCGGCTTTGCGCTCTTCACCCTGTTGCATTGAGGTGCGACAACACAAACATGACGTCAATTGCTTTGCGCTCTTCACCCTGATGCATTGAGGTGCGACAACACAAACATGACGTCAACTGCTTTGCGCTCTTCACCCTGTTGCATTGAGGTGCGACAACATAAACATGACGTCAATTGCTTTGCGCTCTTCACCCTGTTGCATTTAGGTGCGACAACACAAACATGACGTCAATCGCTTTGCGCTCTTCAGTCTATCATATCGTAAGGAGGTGAAACAACACAAACACAAAATGTGAATGCTGAGCGGTGAGAGATAGGGATGGGGCTCGATTGGGGTCAAGGGGGCACGATACGCTTGCGCTCGACGCCTTTGTCTCACCTTCTTGGGCATGCAAAGTGACACTATATGAAATAATCCTGGACTCTAAATCTGCAAACGAAACATCAACTCGTTCTGACTTTGAACAAAATAGAAGTACAAGGCAAAACCCGAAAAAACATGCGAAACAATGGCTTTGAGATCACAGCGTGCAGCAGTACATTCGCGGATGGACGACCCCGCAAGATGTCCTCCGGACTCGAAACTCTCCACCTCGCAAGGAAAAAAGCGATGCGGCGTGTAGAAAATCCAGTGCAAATCACCTACCTGGTATATACTGCTGTACATGTGCAGACTCCACGGATACGATTTGTGTGCAGCAGTGAGACGAAACTCCGGCACAATCCTTTGGAACAAGAGGTGATATTTGGCGAGTGATGTCTCCTCAGTATCAACGATCGGTGTGGCTACTCACGCTGCTGTGCACGAACACCTTCGGCACGCCTGTCTCGCAAACTTCACCCCCCCCCCACCCCAAATAAAAACAATCAAGATCACGGGTAGGCATCGCCTTGGAGCCTCGACGACTCCTGTCCCTCAGCGGCCGGAATAATAAACAAAAGCGTTTTACAATAGCCAAGGATATGTACGTGCAGAAGACAAGCCTCGATTCTGCTGCTGACAACTCACCGTTCATCCTTAATGAAGATCGAGTCTACCTTCGACACCTGTCCGGTGGGCATCAGGCTGATCTGCGTCCCCTCTGTCAGAGTGCCCTGGGCAAGGTACAAACGGAATAAGCAAACAAATGGTTCATGCTCTCGGCCCCCTTGTCGATGCCTTGTTTCTTGCTTGTGTGTTTGCGTGCTCTTGTTGCTGGGCCGCATGGAGAGAGGCATGCTGTTGCTGTAAACTGGATAGGTATCTCGTGCAAACAACTTTTCGGGACATTCTCAGTGCATTACTCTGTCTGTGGTCGAATACAGTCGTGCCTCGCTTAAGGACACCAAAATTCACAAAAACTCCCTCGTCTAAGGATAACTCGTTTTTCACAGGCATGGTGGGTCGCAGAACGTAAAACACAAGGAAACGCATTAAACTTAAACGAAACTTCCCCGGCTTAAGGACACCTATTTTTAGTCAAAATAACAGATGTGTCCTTAACCGTGGTTCGACTGTACTCGAACTTGTCGTACCTTTTCGTCACCCATCCCTGCGAAAAAAGAAACCGACTTATATCCTCACTGCTAAACAGTGTATCCTTCTTAGCCCATGGTATTGCGGCTGTTGTAAATTGGCAATCATGTGCACCCACGAAATATTGTGGAGCATTCGTCCTCCAACAGATACACAATCTTCTAGGAGGTCACAAGAACCAAAATCGGACCAACTCGGCCCCTCAATGGCTACCCCGAACTAAGGCGAACTTAACATGATTTCCGCAGATCCACCTCCACGACTACTACAAAGGCGACAATGACGATCTATAGAAGCCGAATCAAACCATTAAACTAGTCAGCGCTGACTAGTCTAAGGGGAGTCGCCCTCCTAGGCAGTGAAAGTAAGTGATGGGGCGAACGAACCCCACGACTACCTTCTACAGAAGCCGAAATCAAACCATTAGACTAGTCAGCCGCTCACTAGTCTAATGGTTTGATTTCGGCTTCTATAGATCTCACCTGTTCCACCTTGCCCAGCACCATGGTCCCCCTGTCGTTGTAACGGTCAAGGACCGGTACTCGCAACGGTCTGTCCGCGTGCCGGTCGTCCATGTGCAGCTTGTCAAGCAGCTGAGTCAGAAAAATCAACGGCAGCGATGGAGGAGTTAAGCAACAAAATGGGTATGAAACAACAAGCACAATTGTTTGGTACACTTATACTGTTCCCCCGGTGGCTCCAAGAAAGGTCAGGTATATTCTGCTGCTGACGTGAGGTATGTATGTCTTGAGGGTCTACCAGAGGCACGTCTTTCGATACCTAGCGTTGTCTAGTGCTGTCGTAGAGGTGTCTTTTTCTATATAATAGTGTTGTTGAAGTAGTCTACCTCTGCCTCTAGCACTATACATGCATACCTTTACGATGCTACCTTCAGACATGTCTCCACGACAGCACAGTAGTACCGCAAGACATACATACCACCTCTTGCGACAGCACTTCTGGAAGACAGACATACCTCCAGGAGAGTCCCCTCAGAGGTGTTGTTGTCCCCAGCCTTGATCATTGGCCCCCACCAAGGACACAAGTCGTTCGCCACCTATGCATCCGTGCAACGAAAGAAGCATGCAAATGCATGCAATATTTGAAAGTGTGTTGCAAGGGACAACGCCTGTTGTATCGATGGCACGCTTCGGAATCTATCGACCCGTATCTATCGATAGAGCGCATTGGAATCTGTTGCAATTTACCGTACATACCGATGCTGTAGATGCATATCGAGAAAACTCTCCTACATCCGTTGCCTGCGACCATGGATATCGATAGACCTTGACAGGTTATTGTTGCCTACGGTAACCGGTCGCCCCGGTAGTCTACTGTAGTCGGTATGTATCATCGCAACCTACCTGTGGCCAGGTCAGAGGTTCGAATCCCGGCTTGTGCAAGCTTTTCTAACGAAAAAACAACTTTTTTTTTCTCGCTTCCATTCCTGGTAAAATGGAAAGCGCGTTAAAGCATTTCGTGTGTACACTTTTTGAGGGAAGAGAGTCTTTTCGCATTGAATCGCAGGCAATCACCGCAGGAGGGGCAGGGGGAGAGGAAATATTGAAATATTCTCTGTGTGACCAAGGATTCGAGCTCCATAACGGCAGAAAAGCTGTGTGTGTGAGCGATAATTTGAAGCGATGAAAAAAAAAAACAGAGGAGAATATGTGTGTTTGAGCGTGTTGATGTAGATTGAAATCGATGACAAAAAGAAAAAAAGAGCCATGTATGTTAAACGGGCAATCACACTCCCACCGTCTCTTCCTTCGGGTTGTTGCTGTTGGCGGCGCATCGAAATACAGCACTACCTTATGCATACCTTTCCATGTACTTGTATGATGTATTCGACATGCCGCCTAACGTCCACCACATCTTGAATCTATCCACTCATGCCAACCCCAAGGGCGAACTGCCTAGCCGCAGGCAAACACAAGTGGCTTTGTCTACATTCGGCAAACAAAAAAAGTTCTACAACCAACCCCTCCTCCCCGCCACATAACCATTTTTCGTTTTCTAGTTCCAATTTTCGGGACGCCACACCAAAGCAGCCTCGCCCGTGCTCGCAAAACACCCACGGGCTTGGAGTAAACGGCCACGTGCTGGGAGCGCTGATTTGAAGTGAAAAAAAAAACAAAAAAACATCCCCTTTGACAGCAGTGGTATGTTGTATCTCGAAAGGGAAGTGTTGCGTTGATTGTACGCAAAATTTCTTCAAAAACGTCAAAAGTCGCCGAGTTGATCCGCGCAGGGCAAGAGCACCGAATGAACCGTGTACCTGCTCCTTGACGTTGGCGCCCGACAGTCCGGAGATGGGGATGAACTTGACCTCCTTCTTCACGGCGTAGCCGCACTGCTGCCGCAAGAACGGCCTAATCTTCGTGACGCACTCGTCGAATCTCTCCTTCGCCCACTTGACCGTAGGATCGTCCATCTTGTTGATCACCACCACCAGGTATCTGTCGCAGCACAACAACATCCAACATGGCCAACATTTTGAGTGGAGTTGGAGCAAAAACATCCAGCGTCGACAAACAGCATAGCCAACACTTCGACCTGCTGTAAATAGGAACAAAACCGACATCAAAAATCAACACAGCCAACAACGCGCGAGCTGGGGTGGAATCAAAATCAGACATCAGCACGATCAACACTTTGATCTGTGTCGGAACAAAAACAACATAAAACCCACAGCCAATACTTCGACCCGTTGTTGGAAAAACACCAACATCAACAACATTGACATTCTTCACCTGTGCTGGATGTGCTGGAACAACAAGATCGGCACCAACAACACCACCAAAACGAACACGTTATCTGCGACAAACGTCATCACCCATTGTTCTCCATGACGCCCACCCTACGCCCAACTGCCGAAAACAACAAGAGGAAACACAAACAACGCTGACGGCATTGTGATCAGGACTTGATGCAATCCGAGCAACAACATTTCACTGTTAACGCTCTTCGCACCCCATAGTCTGGTTGTTATCCTTGCAACCTTCTGGTGGCCGGGCCAGGGGTTCGAATCCCGGCACAGGCGAGCTTTAAATCTTGCAAAGTGAGTTTTTTCTTTCGCTTCCGTTCCTGCTTGTCGATATCGTGTGTACCCTTTGAGAGAATAGGGAAGAGAGTGCTGCACTTTTCTCGCTTTAAAAAATAAAAACTCGAAGGCAAGCACCGCGGGCTTCAGGGGGAGGAAGAACCAATCTGTGTGACCACGAATTCGAGCTCCCACCTGCCAGAAAATGCTGTGAGCGCTGATAAAAAACCAACTAATATACAACAATGAATGACGCTCTGAGAGAACTTTTCAACGATGCTCCCCCCTAGTTTTCGTACCATAAATACGTCCGTCCTTCCACCTTCCGGTGCAATTCTGGACGCACATGTCTTCCGCAAAAAAACAAAAACCCGAAAGGCACATCCTTACGATACCAATCGCGACAAGAGCAACATCCTCACCGGACGCCCAAGGTCTTAGCCAGCAAGGCGTGCTCCCGCGTCTGCCCCCCCCTGTCGAACCCGGTTTCGAACTCTCCTTTCCGTGCAGAGATCACCAAAATACCCACATCCGCTTGGACCGCACCCTGTGGAACCCAGTTATGTTGACGGCACGGGGTTGCGTATTCGGAACGGAGAGGGTCGGTAGGGATACCATACCGGTGCGAACGAGATGAATATCACCCCGCGCAGCACAGTCATGATTCAGGAGCAAGACAGCAAGCGCCCAGGACTTCATGATTATTATTTCAAGATACAACAAATCCAAGCGCACAGGAATTCCATCTAAGGTTGCGGACGGGAGGCAGAGAGCAGTCATGATCGTACGATGCCGCTGCGCTCCCCCTATACTTCGCTAATTTACGACGGTAGCGATGGTAATATCATAATTCCGATACGATACGATACCTTCATACCCACAACAAGACTGCGACCGACCAAATGACGCGTCTAAACAAACCCTCTCTTTCTCCTTCTCGGCACTCTTTTTTCATCGCCATCCTTTTTCGACGTGTATGCATACTATAATGTCTACCATTTTTGTACAAAAAGAGGGCGGGCACAATGCATGCAAACCTCTACTACAGCGTGGCATTGCTTCGACCAAGAGTTTCTGCATTCCAAGCGTTCGACTCTCCACAGTTGGAGGCAAGCCGGCTGTAAACATGCGCCGTGCTCAAGGGAACCACAAAACACGCCGTCAGTCATCACCTGGATCATGTTAGGTACGTAGGCGTTGTGGCCAGGGGCGTCGAGTATCGTGTACCTGGGGGGGGGGGGGGGGGGGGGGGGTGG